TACTGACCAGTGTTCATTATACTGTTGCACCTGGTGGAGATGTTGTGTATGAGGGAAATGTGTAGTGTTAATATTATGTAGAGAACTTGGAGCATGGAGATTAGAAGGTGAAGGGTTACCAAAAATATTAATCAGAAGAGTGAGGAAGTTTTGGACATTTGCAGAGGATGGAGCAAAATAGAATGACTAGTAGGGTGCATAAATCTGAAATAATGAGAAAAGGGGTAGTGGTTGTCCCAGAAAAGGTTGAAGTGAGAGGGTAAAGGGAGAGGATAAAGGAGGTCTCGAGTGCTAAGTGTTGAACATCTAACAAGCTTGTGTGAGCATGATAGGAGTGGAGGTCAGCAATTTTTACAACTTTATGTCTGTTGGAGTGTGAGCAGGAGAAATATTTATGAAGGGATTCAGAGAAACCAGTTACTGCATATTGCCTGCACTCTGAAGGAGTGGGGATGTTGCAGTTTAGAGAGCCATTTGAACTGTGATGTCAGCACTCTTCTGGCAAGACAGTGATTAACCCTTTGACTGTCGCGGCCGTATATATACGTTTTACGAGGTGCCGTGTTTGACGTATATATACTCATAAATTCTAGCGGCTTCAAATCAAGCAGGAGAAAGCTGGTAGGCCCACATGTGAGAGAATGGGTCTGTGTGGTCAGTGTGCACCATATAAAAAAAATCCTGGAGCACGCAGTGCATAATGAGAAAAAAAAAAACTCCGACCGTTTTTTTTAATTAAAATGCCGACTTTGTGGTCTATTTTCGTATAGTATTTATGGTTGTATTCTCGTTTTATTGGTCTCATTTGATAGAATGGAAAACATATTACAGAAATAGAGGTGTTTTTGATTGATTTTACTATAAAAGAACCTAGAAATGGAGCTCAAAGTAGGGGAAATGTTTGATTTTTGCCAATGTTCAAAAGTAAACAAATGATGCCATTGTCCAATAATGTCCAACTAGCCATTCTAATATGCAGTCATGAATGGGTTGATGTTATTTTATACAGTTATTACAGCATTGCAGTAGTCTGCATAATAGTAAGTCTAATATTTTTTGTTTGAATAAAAATTCAAAATAGAAAGCAAGAGTAATATCAGAGGGGCCTGGAGACGTGACTGATGAACAAAGAAAACGTTATTTTAGAGCCTGGAATGTCTGCATTGTTCATTCTGGACCTTATTTTGAAATTGTCATATTTTTTAGTTTTCGTGAAATTGGCCAAATTGCAAATTTCTGACCACATTATTAGGTAGTTGAAATCAGTAAATGGGCAGTTTCTTGTACTTAATCGATAGAAAAAATGAAGTTCTAAAGAAATAGCTATGAGTTTGGGCGACTGGAACAACGGAATTAGCCGAAAATAGGGCTCAAAGTGGGCGAAATCGCCGATTTGTAAACAGCGCCAAGGTCGCTAACTTCGCGAGAGCATAATTCCGTCAGTTTTCCATCAAATTTCGTTTTTTTGGTGTCATTACAATCGGGAAAAGATTCTCTATCATTTCATAAGAAAAAATAATTTTTTTTTTTTTTAAATTTTGAGACACCAGGAGACACCTCAGGATTGGGGGTTGCGACAGTCAAAGGGTTAAATGAGTGACAGTGTCTTCATTTTCATGTAAACCTATCTTTGTGGGGTAGCAGATTTAAAGTGATCCAATCCTTTACATAATCATTTTTTAAATAGTGGATAGTGGCTCCTCACAGGGGTCATGAGAGAGATTAACCTTAACCCTTAATCTGCTGCAGGGTATAAAATACAAGTACCATTAGTGCCACTAATTTAAAAAAAAAAATGATCCTACCAAAATTTATCCCCTTATTTTAGAAATGTAATAAGAAAAGAATGAGTAAAATCTGAGTATTACTGATGAAGATATGAAGGTTTAAAGCTGATTTATTCCTGTTTTCTTATAGTATAATATTTCAATTTACTTTTCAATAATAGTAAGGAAATGGCATTTTCTGGCTCCTACGATGGTCTGCACACAACACAATTTTTTTATACTACACACACCAGGGCCAGACCTGTCTTCTCTGATGTAGGTTTTATCAGGCTGAAAAGCACCATTTTGTAGGCTATAGAATTTTGGTGTATGTATACATCAATGGCATTTTCCCAGTCAGGATAAATTTATGTCATTGGCAGCTTAATTATGAGGTTAAATAACTGGTAGCTCCTTTGGCAAACTGGCAAACAAACAGTATACATTCCACAGCATATAAAAATATGTTAGGAGACCTGTAGCTGCAACAGAGTACGTACATGGCTCACAGCCATAAAGACCCAGATTATATGCTCACGTGAGGTGAGACATAAGGGAAAGGCTCCTTACACCTGCTTCTCATGTTCAACTTTAAGTAAAATAGGTACCTGGTTCTGCTAATTTGGGTAATATCCTAATGAGACCAAAACGAAAATAGATCACAATATTTAGATTTGTTTAATTATTTTACGCTAAAAAAATTGTGCTATTATGGATTACATCCTTGGGGTAACCAAATGGAAACAAATCACATTATACAACTTGGTTGAATTATTCTAGGATAAAAAAAAATTAAAGTTACAGTACTTGATTATGGCAAATAATTTTTATTCATTTATTACAAACTAATAAAACCTCACATAGCCTAAAACAACTTATCTTATCTATGTTTTTCTTTACTGGCTTGACCAATTAATATTCCTAATTTATGCTTACTTCTAGACAACTTTCGGGAAATTACTTTTAAAACATAAAAGAACTGCATTTTTACCTACCATAAGTAAAAATCAATCATGGTGAGGGCCAGGTGTGAGAAATTTGACTTAATGCCAGTGAAGAAGTGGCACTGGTATTACATATTATTGGCAGTGTTAAACCTGTAAGGTCATAGTGCCTGGATTGGCACTTGAAAATTAGAACTGTAGTACACTATACACAGTGAAACCTCAAATTTCGAACATATCACTTATTGAACTCTTCAAAAATCGACCGCTTTTTTCGAACCAACTTTGTCCCTATTATCAAACTCGTCCCTATTTTCAAACCGCCGGGTACCGGATCCGTCCAGCAGCCCGCTCTGTCTGCGTCTCTGCGCCGCCGCCATGAGCCAGTCTGGTTTTGTTAATGCTTGAGTGAACACTAACCTGCACTCTCATTCAAACACTTTACGATTATTTCATTGTGTTTAGTGCTTGTGGGACTGTGAAATATGCTACCATGGGCCCAAAGAAACTTGATAGTGGTACCCCTGTGGTAAAGAAAGTGAGAAACACCATAGATGTGAAGAAGGAAATAATATAGAAGTATGAGAGTGTTGTAAAACTTGTTGAGTTTGCCAAGATGTATGAGAAAAACAAGTCGACCATCGGTTCTATCCTGGCAAAGAAAGAACAAATCAAGGAAGCTGATGTTGCGAAAAGTGTTAATATGCTAACCAAAAAAAGATCACAGACAATCAATCAAGTTTAGAAGTTGTTGCTGGTGTGGATCAAGAATAAAGAGATGGCAGGTGATAGTGTTTTAGATACGATTATTTGTGAAAAGGCAAGGAAGTTGCATGCCAATTCAAAGATTAAGGAGATTTGTGCCAAGTGGAATGATGTCCAAATGTTTGTGGAGAAGTACCACCCTGAGCAAGCTGAAACAAGCCATCTTTGCAACAAGTTCAGTGACAGAACCATGTCCCATTTTAGGGAAATCTTAAAGAGGCACCAGAAACAGAGGACTGTGGACAGTTATTTTGTGAGACAGGGGTCCAGTGACTCTCAAGCTGGTCCTAGTGGCATTAAAAGACAGAGAAGGGAAGTAACCCCAGAGAGGACTTTGATACCTAAAGTCCTTATGGAGGGGGATTCCCCTTCCAAACACTAACCCCAACTCCCTCGCTCCTCCTCCCTATCTTCCAGATGCCATCACCAATCTTCAGTAAAGGTAAGTAAAATGTTATTTTATGTTTATTTAAATCTATTAATACATAATTGAACACTATATTTGTTGTATGTAAAACTATAATTAACCACTATAAAATGCATTTTTTTGTGAATATTTTTGGGTTTCTGGAACGGATTAATTGTATTTCCATTATTTCTTATGGGAATATTGCTTTGCTTTTCAGATTTTTCGAATTTAGAACTAGCTCCTGGAATGGATTAAGTTCGATATTTCAGGTTCCACTGTACTGAACTTCATTATTATTATTATTATTATTATTATTATTTAGGAGCACTAAATCAGAAAGGGTCATACAGCACCTGGGGAATGGGAGGCAATCAGGTATGATCCAAAGAAAGGGATATGATAATAACATAATTAAATTAAGCAATAAACCCGAGTCATACAGCATCCAAGGAAAGGGAGAGGTTTAATTCCTTTAATCCAAAATCCCTCATCAGCAGAAAGGAACCTCATTTGAGAGGTTTTGATCCAAAGTGGCATGGTTTCAATTTCTTCAGTTATTTATTTATTTATTTATTTATTTATTTTATGTCTTTGCAAACAGTACATTGAGATTTTGTATACAATAGTGGGTTGCAATGCAAAGAGAGCCTCTATTATGCCTAGACATTATGGGCCAACTTAACATTATTGGCTTACAGTCTACTTAACACTAAGAAGTGTATCATAGTAGTACAGTAGGATAGTAATTATTTCATAGATGTACAGTAGAATATTAATTATAAATGAATAAAAAAAAAAAACTTCACCCTTGGTATCTAGTAGCTCAACTGCTAGCACTTTCACCTATCATACACTTGAGATCCTTGATATGGGTGGAAACATTAGGGCGTGTTTCCTTAAGGCACCTGCTGCCCATGTTCACCTATCAGTAAATAGGTACCTGGGTGTTAGTCAATTGGTGTGGGTCGCATCCTGGGGACAAAATTGAACTAATTTGCCCAAAATGCTCTGCTTATCAAAGAGCTTTCTACATAGCAGTATGTCACTGATGTCAGCTAAGCCTGTACATCTTGTACATATACTTGTAGAAACAAAGATTATTATTATAATACTGACCTCCAAGGCTCGTCCGTGGCAGAGAGATGGCTGCAGTCGAACATCCACAAAGATAATCTCCCCTACAACATTTCTATATTCCTCGACAGGGCTAGAAAAAGTACCCGACATCATCTTCTGGTTATACATATGAGCTACACGAACGTTTTTCTCCTAATATTGTCTGCAAACAAGCAATGTGTATGTACCTCACAGCAGCTGCAGCAGCAGCAGACTAACCCGACCCATGTTTACATCATCATCGTTCGTCAGAATCCTTATCTACCACGAACGTTCACAACCACTGTGTGAAGAAAAAACCATACTATGGGTGGGGTTAGAACCCGCGATCAGTCACACTGGGTGCAGTATTAATAATAATAATAATAATAATAATAATAATAATAATAATAATAATAATAATAATAATATTGATGGGTCCTCCTGTAGGTTATTTATTTCCTGAGGGTACTTTACACTTTCCTGATATTTTGGAACCGTTGGGCATGTTTCCTTTCACCTGCTGTTCCTGTTCACTGACTCTTTTTTGGTTGTCCTTAGTGATTTACACACATACTCACCTAATTCACCTAATTGTGGTTGGAGGGGTCGATTCATAGCTCCTGGCCCCGCCTCTTCACTGGTCGTTACTAGGTCCACTCTCCCTGTTCCATGAGCCTTATCATACCTCTTCTATATGTTGAACTATATATGATACCTGTACTTATGTGTACCTGTACCTAAATAAACTTATTTGGTTATTAGTCGACTGTTGTAGGTGGCACTCTGGGGGACGAGACTGAAGAATCCCAATGGAAATAAGACACCCCTCGCTGATAGACTGACTTTCTTGGGTTAGTAAGTTTATGTAGGCACAGATACACAGTATACGTAGTTACACACATTATCATCCATAGTAACATATGTGTAAATTACCTAGGATAACCCCTAAAAAGACCAAGTGACATATTTCCAATGGGGTCCTTGAGTTATCCAATAATGAAGAACATAATAATATACTGAGCATAAGATAAAGTGTTGAATATTGTGGGGTAGAATTTAGGATAAAACGATCTAAATAGGATTTACATATGAAATTTATCTAATATAACAAATTATGAGAAGCCTGTAATTTACAATTTTATATAATCCTGAGAATACGGTCAGAATTCAGCAGGTGACAAGATAAGATTTTGTTCGGATTTTTAACCCCGGAGGGTTAGCCACCCAGGATAACCCAAGAAAGTCAGTGCGTCATCGAGGACTGTCTAACTTATTTCCATTGGGGTCCTTAATCTTGTCCCCCAGGATGCGACCCACACCAGTCGACTAACACCCAGGTACCTATTTGCTGCTAGGTGAACAGGACAACAGGTGTAAGGAAACGTGTCGAATGTTTCCACCCGTCGGGAATCGAACCCGGGCCCTCCGTGTGTGAAGCGGGAGCTTTAGCCACCAGGCCACCGGGCCACAGACACATTGTATCAATTGCATCTGATAGAAAAATGACAGGATGGATAATGAGAACCTTCAAAACTAGGGATGCCAAGCCCATGATGACACTTTCAGGTCGCTTGTTCTATCTAGGCTGGAATATTGCTGCACACTAACAGCACCTTTCAAGGCAGGTGAAATTGCTGACCTAGAAAATGTACAGAGAACCTTCACGGCGCGCATAACGGAGATAAAACACCTCAATTACTGGGAGCGCTTGAGGTTCCTAAACCTGTATTCCCTGGAACGCAGGCGGGAGAGATACATGATTATATACACCTGGAAAATCCTAGAGGAACTAGTACCGAACTTGCACACGAAAATCATTCTCTCCGAAAGCAAAAGACTTGGCAGACGATGCAACATCCCCCCAATGAAAAGCAGGGGTGTCACTAGCACGTTAAGAGACCATACAATAAGTGTCAGGGGCCCGAGACTGTTCAACTGCCTCCCAGCATACATAAGGGGGATTACCAACAGACCCCTGGCAGTCTTCAAGCTGGCACTGGACAAGCACCTAAAGTCGGTTCCTGACCAGCCGGGCTGTGGCTCGTACGTTGGTTTTGCGTGCAGCCAGCAGCAACAGCCTGGTTGATCAGGCTCTGATCCACCAGGAGGCCTGGTCACAGACCGGGCCGCGGGGGCGTTGACCCCCGGAACTCTCTCCAGGTAAACTCCAGGATCCTGACAAGTTTAATAAATATATGTAATCAGGATGATGCTCTTGAGCATGGTGATGATGTCAAAAGTGCAGCAATCTCCGTTCAGCTTCCAGCAATTTGTGAGAAAGAAGCCCATGACTCTTGCCTTCAAGACTTGCCTTTTAACTGGCTGCCAAGATTATTCTTATTTTTTATGCTCTATAAAAAATAGAAGCCTGAAAGAGACTATAAATCATGGACAAAATGGTAGGCTTCATCTCGGATCTGGGATAAAGAGAACGTGAAGGTCAAGATAAATTATAACTGGATTTGCTGTATGTCGAAAACAAGAGTAAAAAAGCTGGAGTTAAATCATTTAAATAATTACTCACAAGCACTGTCCAGAATATCTTGCTGCCACGTTTGTCAAGGTTAGGAACTAAAACCAGTGTGGTACTAGTGGAAGCGAACACAATTTTAAACGCGATTTTCGCGAAAAAAAATTTTTTGGAGACGGCGGGCCGGCCGGCGTTCCAGGCCTATATCTCGGAAGTAACTTTTTCACTTATTTCGCTAAAGTACACCATTATTAATGATTGTATTGAAATGATTTTCACTGACAATATAAAACAAAGTGTTTGAAAATTTGCTGATTCTTTTTTTGGAATATATCAAATATTTTTTATTTTGTGGAAGGTAAAAGGCAGATATTTTGGTGAATGCCAAAAAGTCTATCAAATGTATTTTTTTTCCATGATAATAAGATATATTAGATGAAACATGTGCATCCAAAATTCGTGTCAGATGTATTCTAACGGTTGGGATTGTCGGAAGTGCCACTCGAAGTGCCATTTTGTCATGCCTTGCTGCCATATATGAAAAGTCATTAAATATCTTTTTCTCTGTTGTTTGTTGGCCAATCATACTGAAACTTTGTCACATTCTTCTACATATGAACCTCTAAATGTACACCACAAATAAAAAAAATTGGTTGAAAAATAAAAAAGTAGGCCCCGGCACACCAGTGGGCCCTTTAGGTGCCTGTCTAGTGCCTTCTTGAAGACAGCCAGGGGGTCTATTGGTACTCCTCCTTATGTATGCTGGGAGGCAATTGAATAGTCTTGGGCCCCGGACACTTATTGTGTTGTCTCTCAATGTATTCGTGGTACCCCTGCTTTTCATCGGGGAAATCTTGCATCTCCTGCCGAGTCTTGCTTTCACATGGGGTGATTTTCGTGTGCAGGTTTGTACCAATCCCTCCAGGACCTTCCAAGTGTATATTATCATGTATCTCTCTCGCCTGCGTTCGAGGGAATACAGATCAAGGACCTTCAACCGTTCCCAGTAGTTTAGGCGCCTTATCGCACTTATGTGTGCCGTGAAAGTTCTTTGTACAATCTCCAGGTCTGCACTGTCGCGAGCCTTGAAGGGGGCCATTAGTGTACAGCAGTATTCCAGCCTAGAGAGCACAAGCGATTTGAAGAGAATCATCATGGGCTTGGCATCCCTAGTTTTGAAGGTTCTCGTTATCCATCCTATCATTTTCCTAGCGGATGAGGTAGATACAGTGTTGTGGTCTTTGAAGGCGAGATCCTCTGACATTATCACTCTCAGGTCCTTCACATTACTTTTCCGCTCTATTGTATGGTTAGAATTTGTGGTATACCCTGACACATTTTTAATTTTTTCAAGTTTTCCATATCTGAGTAGATGAAATTTCTTCTCATTGAACTTCATATTGTTTTGAGTGACCCATTCGAAGATTTGGTTGATGTCCGCTTGGAGTCTAGCAGTGTCTTCGATGGAGGTCACTGTCACGGTGATCCGAGTGTCATCCGCAAAGGAAGACACGGAGCTATGGCTTACATCTCTGTCTATGCTAGAAATGAGGATGAGGAATAGAATGGGAGCGAGTACTGTACCTTGTGGAACAGAGCTTTTAACCATGGCTGCCTGGGACTTCACTCTGTTTTCTATTACTCTTTGTGTTCTGTTAGTCAGGAAGTTGTAGATCCATCTACCAACTTTTCCCGTTATTCCTTTATCCCGCATTTTGTGCGCTATTACACCATGGTCGCACTTGTCGAAAGCTTTTGCAAAGTCTGTGTATACTACAACTGTATTTTGTTTATCGTCTACAGCATCCAGGACCTTGTTATAGTGGTCCAGTAGTTGGGACAGGCAGGAGCGACCTGCTCTAAACCCGTGTTGCCCTGGGTTGTGTAACTGATGGATATCTAGGTGGTTGGCTATCTTTCTTCTTAGAACCCTCTCAAAGATTTTTATGATATGGGATGTTAGTGCTATCGGTCTGTAGTTCTTTGCAATTGCTTTAGTGTCACCTTGTGGAGTGGGGCTGTGTTTGTTGTTTTTGGTGTGTGTGGGATGACCCCTGTGTCCATGCTTCCTCTCCATAAAATGCTGAAGGCACGCTATAGGTGCTTCTTGCAATTCTTGATGAACACAGAGTTCCATGAGTCTAGGCCTGGGGCAGAGTGCATGGGCATGTCATTAAGGACCCCAATGGAAATAAGTCACTCTGTGTGACTTTTTTGGGTTATCCTAGGTTCTCTACACATATGCTGCTATGTATGATAATCTATGTAACTGTATTTGTGTATACCTGAATAAACTTACTTACTTAATTGCCTCTTCAAAATCTTGTGGAGTTAGAATAATATCCGAGAGTTTTGGGATGACCAAATTTTGGGTTTCGTTCATAAAGAATTCATTTGGATTGTCGACCCTTAGAGTGGGCAGTGGATCGCTGAACACCGAGTCATATTGGGACTTTAGTATCTCACTCATTTCTTGGCTATCATCTGGGTATGTCCCATCCCGCCTAAGCAGGGGCCCAATACTGAATGTTGTTTTTCCCTAAGATTTGGCACAAGAGAAGAAGTATTTTGTTTGTTTTTTTAATTTTCTTTATGGCTTTTAGTTCTTCCTGTGATTCTTGTCTCTTATAAGATTCTTTCAGCTTAAGTTTGATATTTGCAATTTCATTGACTAGTGTCTCCCTTCGTATTTCAGATATATTGACCCCGCTCAGCAGCTCTGTGACTTCACCTTCGTATGTATAGGGAACGTCTCTCTCTTTCTAGTTTACATCTTCTCTTTCTTTTTCTTAATGGAATATGTCTTGAGCAGATCTCAACAACCACAGAATTCATTTTTCA